GGGGACGAGGACGGTGATCCCGGCGTCCCGGGAGCTTCCGAGGCGGAAGCGCCGACGGAAACCAGAAACCGAGGGGGTTTTGGGATCAGAAAGTAGCTTTTGGGGCAAGTTTTTAGTTGCTTCTTTATGCTCCAGCCAAGCGGGATAACGGGGAGCGCAGAGCTAATTAGAGCCCTAAAAATCACTGGATTGTGCTGGAATGGGAACGTATTCCGATCCCGTTATCCAAGCTCCTGCTACTCACTGCTTCCAGGACGTGAACCTGGAAAATCCACCCCCAGTTTCATGCGGCAGGATGAAATGGTCACCCCCATAACATGAAAAGTCCCCAAAAAGCCTCTGAGGGTGTCGTATTCCCAAAGGAGCATCCCCCGGAGCCGCGCTTCCGCTGGGGATCCGCCTCACCTCCTCTGTGTCAGCACGTGCTTGAGGATCCGTGTGAACCTGTCCGAGATTCCCGGGGAGCTGCAAGAGAACGACCAAGCTCGGAAAAAAAAGGAAACAGCCGAGGAAGCGGGAAAATGTGTCTGCTAACGAGGTGCCGGGGTGCAAATCCCAAGGGATGAGGCTCCGGATTCACCTGCTGATCTCCTCGGCTCCCATGTGGAAGAGCAGATCCGTGGAAGTGAGGCCGAAGACGGTGCCGTGGATTTCCAGGGTGCAGGGATCGGAGACGAAGTGCACGCGCTGCAGCGAGGCGGGAGCTGGGCGGGAATTCCTGCCCCGCAAACCGCTCCGGATCCCCTCGGATGCCGGGAACCCGGCGTTCCCAACAGAACCCCCTGCCGCTCCTTCCCGTCTGGATCCCAACCGAGGGCAAACAGCGCACGGAAAACACCCGCTTTCCACCCCCAAAAAGCAACCGCTGCTCCGCCATCCGAGGGAGACCGTCTCGGAATTCCAAAGGCCGGGAATGAGGCCGTTACCGGCTTGTCCTCCTTGGGCAACTCGGCATAGGAGAAGGGCGGCTGCGGATACACGTAGTCGTGGTGAACATCCCGCTGCGACGGCACGAAGACCAGCTGGGAACCGGCGCTGCCGGGAGAAAATTCCCTATTGGTATTGGAGAGGATCCCAAGTGACTGGGATCCAGCTTCCGACGCCGAATCCCGTTGCGCCGAAGCTTGTTCCCGCCTGACGCGAGGCCGTGCGGAGCGGGAGGCTCTGGAAAATTCAAGCCGCTCAGTTAAGTTTAATTGCAGCTGATTTTAAAATCCAGGCGGGATGTGGATCCCCTCTTGGAGAAGGGATATGGAGCAGCCCCATTCCCCAAAATGGGAGCATCCCGGTGCCGTTGTTGTCCAAAGGGAATGGGGGAGAGTGCTGCTGGAGTCTGGCAAAGGATAAAAGAGGCTGGCGGTGCCCAGTGCTCATTCCCACATGGAAAAAAAGCCCTGTTTGTCCTTTGTTTGCGCTGTTCCTCCCCGCCTCGGCTCCGGCACGGAATGCCCGGATCATTCCCAGAAAAACACCAAAAAAACAGGACCTGGGCAAAACTTGGAGCTCGTAGCAAGTGGAATTGGCTCCAAAATCCACTCTGGGGCCTCATCCCAGGCTCCTTTCAGGAGACTCTGGATCTGATGGCGCTTCCCGTTTTCCCACTCCGGGATCCTGGCCCACTGTTCCAAGCAGGAAGCCACGGAGGGCTCATGGCATTCCCTACTGCACATTCCTTTAGGAATCAATTTGTTAAATCCCACATTCCCGGAAAAAAGGAAGGAGTGCTGCCCTGCCGCCGGGAGGGGTGATCCGGGAGCCCGGAGAAGCGGGATTTTCCCACCCTACCTTCGCGTTCCCTCTATGATCGTCTTCAGGCAAAGCTTGAAAATGTCGGAAAAGGATCCGAGGAGCCGGCAGTTCTGCAGGTAGAGAGCGGGAATGCTCCGGATCATCCATCAGGGATCACCCATCCCGGCCAGAATGGTCGCACTCCAAAGGGAATGGAGCTCCGAGTGCCTTCGGAGCGATGCATTCCCCGCTCCGAAGCGGCCGGCCGCGAGCCGTAGATCCGTAGGGATTCGGGAGAATTCCCCCCTGCCCATGGGCGCTGCCCCATCTCGCTGATCCAATGGGATTTTCCTGACTTACCTCCACTTCCTCATGCTTGGCATCAAGAAAGGGCCCAAACTGTGGAGAAACGGCAACAGCAGTGAGAAAAAGCAACAATCCAGGGAAAAAAAATCCCAAGGAACAACTGGAAAAAGGGGGAAAACAGCAGCATTCTGCCCTGTTCCTTAGGAATCCGGTGATTTTTTCCCGCTCCGAGCGCGAGAGCGGCGCTGCTGGGGAGGCTCTTCCAGAGGAAAAATCCCATTGAACACCTGGCTAAAAGTGGGTGTTTTTCCATATAAATCCCATAGTTTGATCCCATAATCCCCAAATCCAAAGGCAGCAGCCGGATGGGAGCAGCATCTGCTGCACTCCTGCCATGGAGCGGGAGAGAGGGCAATTCCCAGGGGATTTCAGGGCAGGATTCGCCCTTTCGCGCCTCGAAGGGGCTTTGGCGTCGCATCCGCAGGCTGGAAAACGCGGATTTATCCCGGGAAAGCGCCTCACCAGGACGCAGACGTGGGGTTTATCCCGGACGATGACGTCCACGAGGTCGGAAAGGGGATCGTAGGCGATGCTGTCGGACGTGGTGTAGGGACCGCAGGCCACCAGCACCATCCGCGGCTCCGCGTCTGCGGGAACGCCGGGAACGCCGGCGTCATTCCCAACCCGGAACGCCGGGAAAGCGCGGCCGCTATTCCGGAGCTCACCTTGTGCCGGCTCCGGAGGGGTGTGGAAGGGAAGCGGCACCCCCTGCGGAAAGGAAATGCTGGGATGTTACGGAGCGAGGGGAATCCGCCAAGCTGCTCCGAGAGACTCGGCGCTTCCAGAACCAATCCCGCTGGGAACAGCCCCGATCCGGTTGTCACCTCGTAGAGCTTGGAGGCCACCAAGCACTTCCCGGTGCTGTTTGTCCCCTCCACAATGACAACCTGGGATGCGGATGGATAAATCGGGTGAAGCCGGGAAGGAGCCGGATGCCGGCAGCTTCCTGGAATTCCCTCACCTGTCCTGGGAAGAGGGAATATTCCTGGAGCTCAGAGAGGTCCAGGGGGACCTGGCCGCCTGCGGAGTGTTCCCGGTCGCCTTCCAGG